TAAAAATATATGAAACGCCTGGATTGAAGTGCGGGTAGTGTTACGTATATACAGATGTACACAATAAGTATGTAATTTGGTAAGCGGGAAAAGTCAGAGAAAAATAGTGGGAGTTCCTGGGAAAACTCAAACCAACAACAAAAAGTGGACAAGGAAATTCAACTAAACATCAAAACTATGAGACGTTTATTGCCTCCGTCTTCTTTCACCTCTCATCCCGTTCTTCTTCCGTGCATTTCCTGCTCGTTTTTTTTTTTTTTTTTAGGGGGGAATATTGTCTCCACGCGGACACGGACACACTCACACAGTCTCGCTCCCAGAGTGTCCTTGAAAATTTCCCCCACTTGCCTGTTTGTATGTGTGTGTGTATAGACAATGTGTATACGCAGGTGTTCATCCTTTTGTCTCATTCGTTAAAATCTCTCCGGTGCAATCACTTTTCCGCTGCCACCACCACCCTTGTGATCTCCTCACCCATCTGCGTCCACATCGCGTGCATTTGCCTCCAAGAAAGAAAAGGCAGCGGAAGGAAGAATGGTTGTAAGGAAAGTAAAAGAGGAACAGCTCGACCAGATGATGGGATGCCCATGCACGTGGACGATGGCTACCATTCCAAATCCGGTACACCCCTCACCCCACCACCCCAGATGAAGGAAAGGTCCTCCTGTGGCTCTTGAATAGGCTTGGGCTCTGAAATACCGCAGGCCCCCCATACGCTGTCACGGAACGCCACGGATTCATCCGTTTTTACTGTCAATGACGGAATGTTGACCTGCCTCGCAGAGTCTGTGGGCTGGCAAAGGCCGTTCGTGTGCGTTTTTGTCACTGAAGTCACCGCCGGTGTCGTAATGTTTACACCTGTTCCTGTTGTTGTCGCACCAAAACCCAACAATGGCGTCAGAAGAGCGTTGTTTGTCGCCATGTTTTGCAATGGCGTGGCCAACGTAACAGCTGGGGGAGTGGTGTGAGAAAAGGGGCACTCGCTGCTCAAGCATCCCACTGCCGAACGGAAGAACATACACTCCACGTAGCCACGCTTTGCGTTTGCCAGCAACGTGTCCCACTTGGAGCTCGTCGTCGTCCCGCGCATACAGTAGAGCTGCATCATGGACCAGAACACAGCGGGTTCACCCACCAAAAAGAGAAGACCACCAATGCGAAGCTGCTCATTCTCCCCCAGTTCTATCAGCTGCTGCTGAAGTGCCTCCTCTGTCAATAACCGTGGAAGAAGAATCGTCGACGATGAAAAACGGAGGTGAACTATATGCCTCTGATATCCTTCAGCAACGTTGTACGGTTTTATGTCGAACTCTCCGTTCAAAGCTGCCTTCAATATAACGTGTCGCTCCTTCTGCAGCTGTAGTTGTTGAGGCCCAATAAAGGCCTGAGTCATTTGGGGCTCATCAACGGCAACGCGCTCGGCATCATGGGAGAAGCGGCACGAAGATCCCCACGTGCAGCGACCTCGAGCAAAGTGGCGGCATACTCGCTGACTTTTTCGGGGCTGCAGACGGTACGCTTGAACGCAAATTATCCGTGATAATTTGTGTCATGGTATCTCAACACCACAAAATACTTCAGCAGAGCTTTAAAATACCAACTAGAGAGTGTCGACTAAACTGCCAGGACGCAAGAAAAGAAAACGACAGCCACCAAAATACAAAAGGCGTAAAATCCCACACCACCAACACGCAGAGTAATAAGCAAGAAAACAAATAAAAAACAACAACAGAAACTCACATACAGCCACGCACATCGATACAAACAAATTACTACACGTTTACCTCCCACTGCCTAACTACACCTGAAGTGAGCATCAGTAACAAGACGAAGGAACCAGCAAGGAAGAAAAAGCAAAAAGCAAAACAAAAACAAGTCAACGGATATATATATATATATATATATATATATGGTTTGAGCATCTTCCTTGTCATGCGTATTTCTTGTCCTAGCGCATGGTTTTCTCCTAACCGGAAACCTTCTGCTGCGGTTGTTGTTGTCGCTGACGGCATTGCAGAGCCTTCAGCTGAGCTTTAAGGCAGCGTTCAGAAGCCCCCTGACACATCCCGTATCGCAGCAAAATAACACATGCCGTCCATGCATTTAGTGCTGCCTCAATGTTTCCCGCCTTCTCACGAAGTGCGGCGTAATACTCCAAGAGAGAGACCAAAAGTGTAGCATGCGGATGTAGCAACGAATGTGTAGTGAGGCGCTCCTGCCACGGTTGCCGCGTCCCGCCACGCCGACGGTTACTGCCACTCTCCAATAGTCGATCGCCCAGATCGTCAGAAAGCACACCAGTAGGTGTCTCACTACGAAGAAGCTCCGTGGTAAACCAGTTAGGCAGGACAAAGACTATCTCTGCCAGCTTCTGCAACAGTTCACAGATAAATACCAACACAGACTCCGTAGTGTCAACGTTGAACTGAGAAAAGTTGGACTTAGTGACCGCCGCCATTTGCAGTGCTCGAAGCAGAAAGAGGTGGTGAAGTGGAACAATCCTGCTTTTTGCTTCACCATGCAACACCTCCGTAAGTTGTTGCACTTCTGCATTCAGCGCCAGAGCATCCAGGCTTCCCATGTCTGTGGTATTCAACTCTTCTCGAAACACTGCCTCGTCGTGGATGGCATCCAGGACATGGGCGTCATCGTAGCGGTATGACTTCCCGAGCTCCCTCAAGCCGTGCACCGAGGGATGCAAACTCAACATCCACAGCGTCCACTCCGCCCCGTGGCCCTTTGGACACATGACTACTCTTTCTTCGCGTGACTCACTTGAGGCAAGCATCATCCGCGTTGTATCGAACCCTGTGGTACACTGCTCGCAAGCACATGAAAAAAAAAATTTGCCTCGCAACTGCTTCTGCCTATCCTCCCTTGGAAGAAACGTTGGCAAATACGCAATCGTAATGCGCTCCCCAATCGCGATCGTACGCGTGGCCCGCAACTCGGCGAAAACAGTGCTCTCTGGAGCGCATCCATGGCGAAACACTAACACTGCATTGGGCTGACAACTGTGCTCAATCAACGAAATTCCTCCAAAAATGCTCAGTCGTGCCTCAAGAGGGGCAAAACAAAGACCGTTTGCCACGTCGTAAACGTTGTCTTCCTCAGCCAAGATGCCCCCACCGTAGCTCATGGCATTAGTTATAAGGGCTACAAAAAATAAAAGCACGCGCTCCTCACTCGCCACCACTGATGAAAGTGAGAACGGAAGACTCATCCACAAGAAGTGTGCTAGATCAGACAATTTTGAAAGGAATGTGGGATCAGCATCTTCCACCGGGCAGCCAAGTTCCTCCCATCGCTGCGCAAACTCATCTCGCTTCTCACCAAACACCAACTCCGTTAACCATTCATAGAATGGGCGAATAAGACGTGTATCCCACCCTTGTGCCGCAAAGACATTGGACTGATGCAAAACCACATTCATGGCATCCCGAATAGCTGGCGGAAGACACTCCACATAACAATCTCCCTCGTATGTTGTCGTAGGAGAAGTAAAGAGCGGGGTTTCCACCATGATGGTGTCACCGCGGTGAACAACATGCATGGAGACAAGTACACGGCCTACACTCGGTTCGGGGCTCTTCATGACGACAACATCTCCGCCCACAGCTCGACGACACAATTCAGCTGTTTGCGGTCTCCTATACGGTAAAAAACACGAGTGTAACAAAAGTCCTGGTTGAGGGCTAACCCGCGTCAAACGTGACGGAGCCGGTCGCTCCCTGTACTCCGCGACAGCGCCGTTCATCTCCTCCCAGCACACAACCTGTCGTGTGATGGCTTCCTCAAACACTACCCGTGTCTTTCCTGTGGCAGGGAGATTTGAGCACAAAGTGTCGGAAAAAGGTTCATAAAATGCATCCAGTTTTGTGTCATCTTCCTCCAAGGCTGCCTCCTCTTCGGGCAATGCAGCCTGCACCCATGCTCGCACCTCTGGTGGAAACAAAGTCAACTCCAAATGTCTTCGATGCTCCCGAATAACACGGCTATGATGCTCCAACTCGTCGATAAGCATCTGCCGCTTGGACTCTAACGTGCGCCACTCACGATAAAAGCGATCAAGAAGAGCACTCAATTGTATGTTCAGCAAAGCGAGATTGGCATACGCTGCCCGCTCATCCCTCAGGTGCTGCTCCAAGGAGGTGCTCCGCCGATCCACCATATGACTGCCTCCCCAAACGGCGGCAAAAAGTAAGAACGCGTGAAAAACAAATAGACAAGAAGATCAAAAGAAGAGAATGAAAAAAAAAAAAAATCGCCACAATGCATCAAGAGCGAGGCAATGCCATGCCATGCCATGCCCTCCCCTCCACATCCCCTCACTGCCGCTCAGAGCACCACCCCCTCCCTGACAAAAAAAAAAAAAAAAAAAAAAGGGCTCACGACTTGCAACGTAAAGTGCTTGGGCCAAGAAAAAAAAGGAAAAAGAAGTGTGACTCGTTCATCTCTGGCGTGCTCGCTATGGGTCCGTGAAAATATATATTTCGTGTTCGCCCATTCTTTGCTGTTGTTGTTACTGCTTCTCTCGTAACACACAAAACAATAAAAGAAATAAGCAGAAGAGAGAAAAAAAACTGAGTCCTGAGCCATCGCCTCCCCTACCCCCATATACAAACACCAAAAATAATGCGCACAATAGAAGGGAAAGAGGATAGGGGAAGGGCGACGCGTTCCTCCAAAGGTATATATATATATACATATTATATATGTGTTGTTCTTTTTTTTCCTCGTTCAGGCTCTCTTAGCGTGCAAGTAATCAAAACTAGCAATTATTCTTCTTATCAAATTAGATTTTTATCGTCTTCTTCACGCTTTGGCGCATGAAGTCACATCGTTGCCGATTCCCCCCGCCCCCTGTTTTTGTTGTTGCCACCCAGCTCTTCCTTTGCAAGTCCCGCCTCAGCCTCGGAGTTACCAGGTTCTGGCGTTACTAATGTCCTTCCTCACAACAACGTGGGCGCCATTGCTGGTAGAGGTTGCCCCCTGCTCCTCCTTAAGGTTCAGCTTGAGTCCCTTCTTCTCCTTTCGGCTGTTGCTGAAAAACTGGCCAAGTTTGCGACTTAGCTCCTCATCCACGTTCACCTGCGGATGTCGCTGCTGCGGTGGCGACGGGTTCCTGCGCGACTTCGGCTGTTCCTCTACACGCTGAAACCCCATCTCCTTATCGATAAGCTTCTGCTTCTCGGTGTTCATGGGCGCGGCAGTAGGCACGACCTGCTTGTTTTTGTTAGCCGCAGCTTTACGCTGCACCTTCTCGAGCGACACCGGCCTGACGTCGCGTATGTCGGCGCGCATGGAGGTGGTGCTGCGTGCGACCTCTCGGGCAATAAGCGCCTCCATATCACGGTCAAGTGCCGCGTCGTTGCGGCGAGGCGGCTTCGGCGCCTTATGCGCACGTGACCTGGGCTGCTGAGGGGCCGCCACTGCCACAACCTCCAACCTGGTGATGCTCTGAAACATATAGTACACCACCAACAGCCCCGCCAGAGCTACACCAATGGCAACAAAGTAGTCAAGCATGGCGCTGTATGCAACGACAAGTTCGCTATTTCGCTTTGCCCACACACAAAACAGGTCCAAGGGCACCAAAAAAGGATATTTTATCCTCAGCAGAACGCAGAAACGCTCAAAAGTGTTAAAGATTCAAACAGAATAAAAAGGGGAATTAAAAATAAATAGAAGCGTACTCACAGACAAAGGAAGAAAGATACATGTAGGGACCACAGGGAAAATAGAAGAGAACAAAGAGACAAGATACCACCACCACGAGAACGGTTCACGATCGTGTGAGAAAGCGCATATACGGTGATGCGTAGAAAAACAAAAGGGGACCTGAAAGGCGTGGGTGCTGTTTAGTTCGGTCTAGCAAGAAAGAAAGAAAACGCATACATAATTCCCACCTTCAGGGACTCTTCTCCGCTTGGCTACCACCAACAGAACGAACTAAAAAGGGGGACCAAATGAGTTAATTTATGAAAAAAGTTGTTGTGGAATGTCATCAAAACCACGCTGGAGAGCAATTTCACACCTGTAGAGAGAGGCGATTAAAACCAAATGAAGAAAGAAATAGCAAGATGTTTTGCTTTGAAAATCAAACAAAGGTTCTCGTACCTCTCCTTCTCCTCCACTCCCTCTCTCTCACACACACAGATATACATCACCTTCAATTTGAATACCAGTGAGTGTAGCACGAGGCACGGTCTCATCCACACTATTTCACGCATTTTACCCCTTCCCCCCCCCCGTGCGCATCTCCCTTCTATTCGGTTTGCATGAGAAACTCGACTATTTCATCCTGGTATCTCTGTTTTGTTTTTGTTGTTGCAGCTTGCGCCTCCAGTTCCAAAATTCTGCTGGTTGTTTCCCGTGGTCATTCACTGTCCCACAGAAAAAAAAAAAAAAGCAAATAATAATAATACCCGGGACAGTCCCTTCAGTCGTTTGCTTTTGCCTGCATCCGGACAGCCGAGGCGAGAAGATAATTATTTCTGAGAACACCATGCGTAAAGTAAGGCAAATAGGACAGTACATTCTCTGCTGTGGGAAAAATTCGGCGAAATCCTCCAGCGCATGCCAACTCCTCCTCCGCCTCAACCAAGAGAAGATATTCACCCGGGGAGAGGACCGAGTCAGGGTCTCTGGGGTCATTAAAGCGGGTAAGCAGGGGTTTCCGAATCAGCTCCGCATCCTGGTGCGGATGTCGACCAAACCGATAACGCGTCTCGTGGCGATCTGAAGGCTCCTCTCCAAAGTTTGGTGGTGTAGGCCCAGAAGCGTTGCGTTGATGTGGAATCACGCGAATAAGCGTCAGTAAATGGGCTAGCATGCGGGACTTGACCGCCTTATCAAGGGGGGTTCCTGTGGCCAAGGATGGCATGATATTCACCTCAATAAGTCTTACATTGTATTGTTTATCTGCCATTAAATCCAGACCGTACATCTCAAAACATCCCCGCCCTGCTTTATCACTGCACTCCTTGCGAATGCGTTCCACGACATCGTTCTCAATACTAAGAAAAGCCTTAATGACGGCATCTTCGCAACCACGCATGATTAGTTCCCATGCAAGCTTTCCATCCTTCTGATTTTCCATTAGGTATTGGCGTAGATCAGAGAGACACCATTTTATATCTACGGGATCATCCGTTTGGTACTCCTTGCCACGGCTCGCTCGGTTCAGCTCGGCCATCTTGTTCACAGAGTAGTTGGTCAAGTGAACATGAATATTGTCCAAATCCTTGTCCATTCCAGGGTACTTTTGCGCGGCAAATCGCACCAAACCCTCATCAAAGAGAAAAATGCGAAGAGGATCAAACGACGTCACAACACAGTACAGTCGGAGATCAAACTTTCTTCCGTAAATAAGCATAGGGTTACCCAGATAGCGTTGGCATACCATTTGGCTACTTCCTGTTGGCATGGGCGGCATTCCATGGTAAAGACGAATTCCACGTCCACAACTAGAAGCACTAGGCTTTACTATCAAAATCAGCGGATCCTCACTTGTATCAGGTTGCCTTTTAACGTAATCCTCAAGTGCTGACCATTGTTTGGGGATTAAAAATGATGCGGGAATGATATCAAAGGCATCGACTCCAAAATAACGCTGCATCTTCCCAATATTGAGGGCCAAACTATCTTTTCTACCAATGCCCCATGTTCCTGGAAAATGGTTAACTTTCTGGTATGGACCGAGATGAGATAACGTGTAAGGTGTTGCCCGCTTCGCCCATATGACATTAAAGAGTTCATTGGAAGGCGTGTACTGCATCCCCGCCACCTCAAAGGCATCGATAACCACCTTGAAGGCCACGGCGCCGGGACCGAGCTTGTACAGGCACATGCGGTTAAGATTATTTTTCTGTACGGAGAGATTCCCCAATTTGTAATTGGGACGATCACTACCATGATACGCAAGGTTTAACTGAAGAGGTGTTCGAGCGTCACCAGAGTTTCCGCCTCCACGATTGTTGTGGCGTATAGGGAAAAAAAGACTGGGTGCCGAGAACGGGTACAAAGGCTTAACCAGGGTATACTGTGTCTTTTCTGTTGCCACTTTATGCGCGCTTCCAGGTTCTTCGCGTGGTGTGAGGTGGGGGGAAGTTGCGTCACCGAATGAAGAGGCTACGGAAAACACAATGCCATTGCTACGACGGGGGAGTAGAGATGTGCGTGGCAGCCTTACCCGCTCCAAAGTCTGTGGCACATGCTTGGGGTTGGAGGGGTCCTCGTTGTTTATGTCCGGCACAAACTTACCCACAACAAGGCGTTGATGACGAGGAAGAAAGTACGTTGTTTCGGCGGTCATCACATCCGTGTCGTCACGTCCATCATGCTGTAGAAATCCAAGAGACTGTGGGTAGAATGTGGGGAGATTGTGAGGAGGTGCGAGAATCTTGCCTGCCATTTATCAGAAGTCACACACTCTCTCTCTCTCTTTGATCTATGTACAGCCTTACCTTCTCCTTCCCTAACACACACGCACACGCACACGCACACGCACACACACACACACACACACACACCTGTGACAAAATATAACGTATAAACAGAGCGCAACCATACCAAAAACAAAACAAAAACACGCACGCAAAGGCCAAGAGTGTCAACCACAGAGAAGAAGCTGGATGTGTGCATGCATGCATACACACATGCATACTGTTTTCCTACCGAACCTGTGCACCCCCAAAGACATGACTGTGTCAGAGTTTCATATACAAACTAAGAAAATATCAACAGACTGAAGAAAAGTAAAGAACTGGTCTTCAGTTCTACTTCCCCCATGCACATATAAATGCATACACATGTATGTATATGCACTGCACTTATGTGTTGAAGTCCATACATCTTACTTCGCAAAACAGCAACCACAGAAAAACACGGGAAGAGAGGGGGAACACAAGCGGCAGGATAGTTGATTGTCCCTTTTCCGCACCAAGCATATGGCTCCAGAGACCTACATACGTGGCATACGTATTCATTGAATCCCTTTGCCCGCTCTCCGAGATGCATGGAAAGGAAGAAAAAAAACAAAAAAGGCTCACATCCCCCTGACAAAAAGAAAAAAAAAAACAGGAAAGACGTACAGGCATAAACACCAAGAGGTATTAAGAAGAATGATGTTTCCCCCGTCGCTTCTACTGCATTACGGGTAACAAGCAAAGAGGTATCAAGAGCAAAAATATGATGCCCTTGGGCGCAAAAAGAAAAACACAGGTGACATCTAGTTCGCAAACAAAAAAAAAAAAACATTGAACGTCATTGCAAATATCCACAAAAACAAATGCAGATAAAATCACAAACACATAAAATTGTATAAGTGGAAAGGCAGAAGATGGACGGCGTCCCCGCCAGTCTCACCACTTTCTCTTTTTACTTCTTTCCTTGCTTCTCCTCACCCCACGTGCTTTTCTTGCCCCACGAAGAGTCTTAAAAGGCTCGGAGGAGCAATAAGTCCCACAACATATGTGGCGGCGTGGCCCCTCTACAGTGCAGAGAGGCCCCGTAGAAATGAATGAAGGGCGGCAGTGCCAGGGGCCACAACGCCGCCTTCATTAATAAGCATGCCGAAGAGAAGCATCAGAAAAGAAACCGGGACTCTGTCCCACTGTTTCCACTTCCCCTCGTCAGAACTTCATTTCTTTTTTTAAAGTAAATGGGGGGTGGGAAAAGCGAAACAAACACAAGAAACAGCAACAGTTTCATAACAGACCAGAAAAAAAAAAAGGCTAATGGTTAAAAAACAACAACAACTTTACACTGTCATTTTACATGCCACATGCTCGTTGAAAGTCGGAAATCCATATATCGCGCTCCTCTGCAGACTTTGCCATGGCAATTATCTTTTGACCATTGGTGAACCAAATGACCAGCTGATTGGGGTTAGAGCGACAGTAGGCCTCCGGCACCGGAAATATATCATTGACTGTCTCCAGACTGGCAGACTTTGGAGAGACACCGTCCTTCTCGGGGTTTTCGCTGAGGGAAATACGCAGCTGCCCATTTTTAATAGAAAAGAATCGCTTTTTCCATTTCATATCTGAACTATACTTTAAAAGATATCCTTCACGCAGCACATCGGTACTTACTAAACCTGGTTGAACGGCATTTGGGGACGGCGTTTTCACCCGTGCCTCTGAAAGCTGCTTAAGGATGCGCTCCTTGTCGTGTTTCTCAATGACTTCGGAGTTTCGCACAATTTCTTCAAATATATTAGCCACATACTTCAAGAGCTCCGTTTGCAACAACTGTGTGGTGGTAGGGCGTGCCGCGGGATCCTTTGAGAGCAAAGGATCCATAAGTCCCTTCATTCCATCAGACACGGCGCAGCTAAAAGGGTCATACTTACCATACAGCACCTGCTGCATGATTTCACGTTGAGACGGACCTTTGAAAGGGCGGTGCAGAGTCAAAAGTTCATACAGAATAACCCCAAGTGACCACATATCAGCCTTTTTGCTGTACCTTTTTCTCTCCCAAAGTTCTGGTGCGAGATAGTACGGGGTCCCGCAAAACGAGGAGCCAACGTCTAGCGAAACAGAATCTGTATACTGCTTAGAGAAACCAAAGTCACCCAGTTTGATAATACCAGTTGGCATCAAAAATATATTGGCGCTTTTTAAATCTCGATGCATCATTTTCCTGCTGTGCACCTCGTCCAATGCGAGGACAATTTGATAGAATAAGAGACCTGCTTCATGTTCCTTAAATGGCAGCCGTTCCTTGAGACGCTGCTTGATTTGCTTATTAAGATCGCCGCCACTGCCGAACTCCATGATTAGTAGCAGCTTTATCTTCTGACTTCAGATCATCGTAGTGCTTGACAATGCCAAAGTGGTCACAAGCAGCCAGGCAGTGAACCTCGCTCCGTGCATATGCCGCCTGCTTCTCATCATTTAACATAATAAACTTCGCCACTACCTTTTGCTTATCGGACCCTCGCAGGGCAACAAACGCTGCCGTCGTTGCATTGCGCCCCACAATATGCATTAATATATACAAGTGCGCGCGGGGGTCCTTCATGACATCCTCAGGGACTTCTTCCCCCTCCGGAAGGTCAAGCACCTTCCTCACCGCATCCGGCCTGGCCTCCTGGCAGTACTTCTCCATCTCTTCTTCCGATGTGAATAGCACATTTGGGAAAAACTGGGCGTAGTGCCGCAGCAACTGAGAGTCGTGGCTGTCGTTGCTAGGCATTTCAAATAATAATGTACTGCTTAATAAAGGAGGAAGAGAGAAGCAATAAAAAAAAAAAGACGATGACGGAGATCAGTAAAACTAATACACAACAATACAGAGGAGGAGGTAACCCCAATGATTAACACACACACACACACACACACAGGGAGCGAGGGCAAACTTACTCCTTCTGGCATTGCAGCTCGTGTCAAAATGGAACACCAAATAAAATGTGCTCAAAACGCGTCAAAAGCGAAAAACCAGACTATTCATGATTTCATCTGCATCGCGGCGTCTGGAACTCTTCTTAAGGGGAGATTGCATCAGTGAGCTGGGTGTGTACTGAATCACTGTTTGTACACTCGAAAACGGAGAGGACACCTCCACTTCCAACCGTCGTGCACTACGCAAGACCGCTTCGCTCGGTACTGATCCTTCCCTTTCAGGGTTGCTGCTCTGCTGCGAAGGCAACATCGCCCCCTCCGACGGGGCCTTCAGCTTCTCCAACCATGTTGCTGCCACTGCGTCTTCGGAGGAGGAATGGGCGCTGCCGCAGTTTGAAAAAACATCCACAATTGCCCGAAGCACCCAGCGTTGCCTTTGCACCCCCTCCAAACTTGGATCGAGAAAATAGTCTTCCAGAGACTTGGAGCTTGTGTATACCTCCGGACCAAGAGACTCCAAAGGACACTTTAGACTATGGGCGCTTTGCTCCATCAGAAAAATAGCTAACGCCGCATCCTCCTCTGTGCAGACATGTTCCAGGTGCAATTTTGCATGCGCTTGCGTTATTCTCACAAGGGACTCCAGCAGACGTATGGTGACTGGCACACAGTCAGCAAGAAGAGGTGAAGTCCCTCGTCGATGTTGCAGATCGTAGTACGTCTTGATAAGCTCCGCTGCCTGATCCGAAAGTAAAGGACCCTCGTGTTGTGCATAGTGAGAATGGATCCACCGCAAGTAGCGGCTAATGTCCTCTTGCGAAAGAACAGATGGTGGTTGTTGCCCAGCTTGTGAGCAGGTAAGAATGTGTGTGGCAACACGACTGTCGACTTCCAACGAGGGCTTATCCCATAGCAAGAAAATAAAATCAAAACGACTAAGCAAGGGTCCACCCACGCCAATTTCTGTCCCCCCGTGCCGTTTCGGAGGAGGATTACACGCTGAAATGACAGAGCAAGAGGTTCGGAGTTTGGTTACCATCCCCGCCTTGGCCACTGAAATGGTTTGTTGCTCCATGGCCTCATGAAGGGAAGCTCTATCCGCCGAAGACACGGTTCGTAGCTCGTCGATCACACAAACACCACCGTCACTAAGTACCAAGGCACCCGGTTCCAAAACCCATTCGCCATTTTCCTTCGCTGCAGCCACTGTTAGCCCGGCGGAGGTACTCCCGATCCCTGTGGTGGATGTACTCCGCGGCGCAATCATGGCGGCAAACCGCAGCAATTGCGACTTCCCTGTCGATGGATCACCCACGAAGAGACAATGAATTGTGGATCGTATGGGCATACGTGACTTGCCTGTGGTGCAAGTCCCTCCTACCACCGCAAGGATTAAAGCCATACGGGGGGCAAACAATCCTGCAAGATGTGGACACACAGAAGTGACCAAGGCAGTGCTTCTGCGTAGTTTATCCTTGCAGAAGGAGGAAAAAAATGATTCAGGGCTAAAAGCAGATCCTTCCATTGAATCAGGTGGTTTACGTCGTGGTACGGCAGCTATTTTACCAGGGCCTCCTTCCCGGTAAGACTCTACCGAACTGATGTTAAGTGCCCACACTGTAGGTTCAATAACTGGCCGACTGTTGGGATACGTGGCACGCCACTTTGGAAACAAAATGCCAATAACCTCTACCAACTGGCCCACTGTGCATTTCATCGTCAGCTCATCTTCAAGAGTCACAAGAAGGGTACGGGGGAGGCGACCCGAGAGACTGGAACGCTGCTGCAAACGACACTCTGCGTAGTCCATCCAAACCTGACCAACAGGTTGCAATTCCCCACCTCCACACCCCTTGCGTTCGCAACGCCCTCTTGGCTTGGAGGCACGATCAAAAGGGCTAGACGCCACCTCAACCGTGTCTCCACACTTGGTGCATTTCAGTTTATGAACAAATGGTACTACACGTTTGGCATTCATTCGTACTATAGTTCCACAGAGACTGACAAGCACCCCACGAGGTGGTGGCATAGACGGTGGCGGCGCGCCCACGGTGGGCAGATGCGTTAATCGTGGGGAAAGCTCGGCTGGGTTAAGAGACCGCCCAGCACTCTTGCAAATTTCTCCACACACCTGGCGTAGGCCTTCTATAAGTGTCATCGTCTGGAAAAAGAGAATATCAGTCAGGTTTGGGCACATGTCAAGAAGATGCATGCAATCAATTTCTTGCGTCCAGAGAGATCGCGTCATGAGAGACTCCGTCGAAGATGTTGAGGTCAAACATTGCGGGGGTGTACAACACTCCAGGACGAAGGAGCGAAGCTTCTGCAACAGCTGCTCCTCCACCAAGACCTCATCCGCCATATATACACACAGATGTATAAAGTTGACGCCCCTGATGTAACTACTTATGTTTTGTATAAAATGCACTCCTCACCCCGTGTCTGTTGTCCCAGCAGTAATATCAACACACAGCAAAAAGAACAGCAAGAAAAGCAATTACTGCACACATTACCGTCTTCAACAAAAACGAGGAGGCCACATGAGGCCATGCCACGAAAGAAAGAAAACCGGAAACCCCAATAAATAACAAGGGGCCAAACAAACGCTCTGACTCAGTAAAAAAAAAAAAAAAATATGTGAAGAACCAAAAAAAACAATCCCCCCAATGTTGCTGCTTTTATATATTGACATATATGCATTGCCCTTATTTATTTATTTTTTGTTTCCGCCTTTTCCGCCGCATGCGTTGGGCTGACTCACCTTAATGCATTTCAGCCCCAACCCAGATGGGGAAATAAACACAAAACAACAACTTCATGGCCGAAGAAGGTAATTATAGTACGCTTCCCAGTCCTCATCCTGACTTTCTTCAAATAACGACATCAGCAGCTCGTTCCTAATCTCCTCTTCAATATCAAGAAGAAGCTCCATCACGGCAGGATCACCCACATCACACTGAAACTCTTTGCTAATAGCAACGTAGGCGTCCTTCACCGAGCCGTTGTCCTCGGTAGACCCTGCGCGGCACTCGCCTAGCTCAGCTTGCCGCAACCTATTTCGTTGTAGAACATTCTGCTGCAGCATCCGTTGCTTAATCTCATGTCGTTTGGAATGCAGCAACTTGACACTCGTTTGGCGCATTGGTTACCAGCACCACTACATTGACAACTTTCAAAGGAGGATTATCACCCTTTCCTCAGCTTGCAGCGTGTAAGAATACATGTAGTAGAAATCAAAATAAATAAATCAATAGCAATAACAGAGAGAGGGAGCAAGAATAAAAATGGGAAACAGAAACGGAATTGGCGATAAAAATTATAAGGGTAAATCTCTGAACACATCAACATAACCACGCTACAGAGCTGTGGTTCCTCCTTATTTCACTTATTTATTCCTCTCGTTGTCAGGCCCCAGAGCGTATAAAAAAAACAAACAACAACAACAACAACAACAACAACAACAACAACAACAGAGCACGTTACCAACATCTACTTTACATGAGCGTCTTCAACGTACATAGTAGCAAATAAATGATCATCCGGCTGAACCCCGCCCTTGCAGCGCACACGCACAGACTGGCGCAACGCGATGCTTCCAAAGAGACTGTCTTTCGTGTGCTGCACCTGTCTTTTTAAGGGGCATATAGTGCGCGAGCGGGCAAGCGATAATCGCTGCTGGGCGTCAACGTAAACTTCACCAGCATGGCCATATGGGCTCTCTTGTAGACCTAAGGCTCCATGAATATGATGCATCCTGCAACTGCGGCCTAGTTTCACTTTGTCCCGAATGGAGTCTTTTATTAGACCTTCAAGGTCTCGCTCCCTCGGCCAATTGATGCCCAAGGCAGGCGTGGCATCCACAGCGCATCGAGCGCAGGTTGTAAACATAGACGCTAACTTTTCCTCATCCCACGTGTTGCCCTTTTGATGTACGACCTCCTTCACCTCCTCTGAAATACGGTTTCGGTCGTGCCAGAGACAATCCACGGAGACAAAGCACGAGCCGTGATCTGGTGCAATGACATTCGGCCCACCCCTCCACGTTTCCCGAAAGGCGGGAAGTATTCGTCGTTGTGGGTCTTGGTACCCCTCACTGAGCGGTGGATGCAAAGATGTATTACTATCCCGAGGGGCACTTACCTCCCCTTGTTGTCCGGCGATGTAACGATTCACCGTCTCAATGGCCTTTACAATGGAAGGCGACATCTCTCAGAAGACTGCAATGCTGTCTCTGTCTGTCACCGCGTGCCGTCTTTCTGATGGTGGAGGGCAATAGCTTGTGAAGAAGACAGCCCAAGCACCCACTTTCCCAAAGAAAAGAGGAAACGGCAGGCACACAGTCGCGTATAGAAACAGCAACACAGTCAATCCCAGCGGCCGGAAGCACACAATACCCACAGTAAATGCGTTGCCCTTCATAAGCCGTGATACACATGCACGCATAAAAATAAAGAATGAACGAAATAGATTCACCCGCGACTCCTCTGTCTCTTTTTTTTTTCCTCTTTTAAATGTTTGACTCATTTCCCTCCTATGCCCTCCCCACACCAACACACACCCGCAGACAAAAAAAAACATCTTACAAACAATAACAAAAACAATAATGGCACTAATAGCCCAGTTATTGATGGTTGAAATAAAAACAAGAAATAATAAATGGCACTCTGAAAAGGGAGGAAACATAATAATAATTCATAGTCATCTCTGGCACCCAAACTACTCACGAGCATCGACGATGCCTTGTTCGGAAATACTGAAAACACACTCAACCTCCGGCAGGGATGGACTGTCGTAGATCTTGCAGATGCGCTGATCCCCTCGGCCCTTGCGGAGAGACAATCGTGTTGTGGAGGCGTGTGCAAGAATGTGCCCACCAACCGGTTTTTTGGGGTCAGCGACAAACATCGATGCACCACCAGGGTCTGCCACAACCTGGTTTGTAATATACACTGCTACATTAAACTCTTCGGCTAGTTTTATCAAATGGCTCATCATTTTTGCGAGCTTCTGCTGCCGTTCCGCCAGCTCGCCTCGACCAGAAAAGTCAACGCGAAACAGAGCTGTAATGCTGTCCACAACGAGTAAGCCAAACTGATCCTCCGCCATCTTTGCGGCCACCATAGAGAGCAAATGCATCTGGTGCTCATGAGTGTAGGCCCGTGCCACGAGAATGTTATTGAGCACTGCGTCCGCATCAAGACCAAAACGAGAAGCAATGGGCTTAATGCGTTCTGGACGAAAGGTCGCCTCTGTATCCACGTATATTGCCTTCCCATTACCCCCGCCCATTGAGGTAGGCATCTGACAGGTCACACACAGTGTGTGTGCGATCTGAGTTTTTCCTGTGCGAAACTCACCAAAGGCCTCTGTAATGGACATGCTCTCAATACCTCCACCCAATAATTGATCAAGAGCGGTGCTTCCAGTCGTCATGCGCGTCACTTTGCCGCGCTGCTGTAGAAACGTGGCTCCATTTGTAAACCCACAGTCAAGAAGCTTTCGGGCCGCCTCTATGATTTTCTCCACCTTGGCGTCGGAAAGACCCTTGATAAGTGCCAAGTCTTTCCGACACTGCATGTGAATCCCTGTAACCGTGAAAATACCTGCCTGCCGCAACTTAACGATGTCGGCCGCGGCAACACCCTGCTCTGTAAGACGATCCACCTCCACAATCACATGTGCTGCATCTTCCTGACATGTTGACGTATCCGAGCAGTGCGCCGCATCTTTTGCGATATCACTCTTGTTTGAACGTGTGCCTGAGTGTTGCATCTTCCCTTTGTGCCTTGTGTTGTGGCGACTGCTCTCTTCACGTGCTGTGTGGAGTGTACATCCCAACCGTGCGGTGCGGCAAAAGAAAAATATATTTCAAACAAAAAACAAACAACAACAACAAACAAGAGCAAAAGTGCCAGTAGTCACACAACGTCCAAGAAAAAAATAAACAACACACACAATTCTTCATTTATTATTCCTGTCTTCTTATATATATATATAT